CACGGAAAGGTCTCAATAGATCTATGCAAATATAATTCTGCTTTATTACACCACCTTGTCCCTTGCCACCCAGCTCAGATCTGTGGCTTCAGTACTACAAGGAATCCATTGGGTACTTCATTCCCACACAAAATACAGTGTATGTCACATGTGGGCAGCGTTCTGACCAGCATGTGTAATGGCAGTGAATCCAAGGGGCAGATGTTCACTGCTAGAATAGAGGATGATGATTATGGCAGAGGCTACAGGAACGATGCTAAAAATTTTGACTACTGATATTTACCATTTCTACACTCACTTTCATAGCTGTTTTTGAGGATAATCTTTTACTCTGAATTTTTTTAAACTAAAAACTAAATTTGGGGCTAGTAATTGAAATGTGTCAGTGTTACCTCTTCTCTGTAAGCTCTGGATTTAATATGGCTTTATTAGTATTTACTTCAGATAACCTATGCATTTTGTTCCGACAGAGTTCAACAGCTCTATGTATCTAGTAGGTAAATATATAGTCTAACTTAACTTAATATTCCTCCAGCAGTGAGAGGAGGTCCTTCAATGGGCTGTTCATCCCATCTTTCTTAAAAGGGGAACACCCAAAAAGTGTTCATCTTTCCATTAACTGTGGTGAGCTACATCCTGCTCTCTTAAAAAGCTTCTTCCTTCTAGCATAGTTTCAAGGTGCATACAGATTTGTTTGGTTTTTTTCTTGCACAATTAATCGTTCTGTTGTTTGCATCAAACATGAGTGGATTGTATTCTATTTTGCTCAAACCACTTTTGAACAGGAAGAACAAAACCCCAAGCAACAAACCAGCATGCTAACAGACCACAGTCAGCTGGGTTCTTGTGACATAAAGGGGACGTTGCTTGGAATGGAAAATTGTAGGGTACAAAATGGAGCATTGCCTAGATGTGGGCCCTTCCTTAGCATGAACTGACACTGCAAAAGCAGTGGAGTGCCTGTGCATGCCCTCAAGAAATGTGTTGCAGTGCTAGAGAGGACCAATATCATCATCCACCCTAGCCAAGCAGTGGGAGAGAAGTAATCCCTGTTTCTAACTGTTTTTGCATCGAGTCTGTAACTCCTTCTCAGACTTAAAACAGACCTTTTAGGAAAATATGCAGTCGTTATTCTAAACTGTCAACATACAGAAAGTTCACTGCAGTATTAAGTAATTTTTCATGTGTAATTAATCTCACTGGGTAAAACTTAACTCTTAACCCTCTCTTCAGTAAAAATAAATACTCGTCGGATTTAATCTGAGGTAATTTTTTCAAATCTTGTAAAAATATTTTAACCCTTTCCTGAAACCTTTCAAAATTGTCAGCATCCTGGATAGAAGTGTAGGGGCTGGAAGTGGATGAGCTGTTGCAGTACAGATTATCTGTTCAGAACAACAGTTTCATGGAAGTTTTTCTCATCTTTTTCTGTCTTCCTCATTGGTTGGTTTTTGCTTGTTTCCTTTTTCAAGTAACATTTCTCTTAAAAGGCTCCTTTACTAGATTTTTCTGATAACCATTTTTTACCCATCTATGTGATTATTTTTTCTTTATCTTCATCACTCTTCCCTATGTTGGTGTCATCCTGAGGGACTTCTCAGGAGAACTATATCTTTTTTCCTTACACGTGAAAATATTTTGATCAATGCTGGGATGAATCAAATCACCGCGTTTCTGTTTAGAAATAATTTTTCAGTCAGTTAACTAGTTTGCAGCCTGTAAGCTGCACTGATATTTTTATATTGCTCAAAAAAACCCCTCAGAATGTCATCTGTGATTAAGTCAAATATTTTAAAGAAATCAGAGGTGACTGTGTTAACATATTTAATCATACGCGATCTCATCAAACTTACCATTTTGATTAAACCTGTTTTCCATAATGCCATGTGGAATGGCATTAATTACGTGCCTGTGCTTTGATTCTTTATTGATTGTCTTAGAGCAGTCTTCCCATGAGCATCTGGAATGACACACAGCTTGTGTGACCTGTACCTACATGCTTTAGTTCTGCTTCTTCGAAATATTGTCCCCTCTGAGCTTTTATCAGTCCTTTACATTTTGCCATTTTCAAAGGCTTTTTTTAAACGTCACTGCTTGTGTTTGGGGCATCTCCTATTCCAGTTATTTCATGTTGTTGGATGCCAATTTGTCTGATCATTTTCCTGTTCACTTCATTTTAGGAATTTATCATTCGTTTGAAACAAGAGATATCTGTGAACATATGAATGTATTTTGAATTACAAATTAGGATATTTCATTGAATGTAACAAGTTTTTTTGTTTAATGGAAAAATAACATTGGAGCTGTTGTCTTCCTAAGCTTTTATTTATTCCTGATATGCTAAAATAATTCTTGTTTTGGCTTTTTATTGGGGTCTTTATCTCCCCTTATCAAAATGTCATAATTACAAATTTGAGATTTTTTTCTTCTTTCATATCTCTTTTTTTTTTTTTTTTTTTTAGTTGGAAGTAAAATTTGCACCTAAAAGCTTGTAGAGTTTTACCTTTCTCGCCGTGTTTTCTCCCAACCAGAATGTGCTTTGACCAACTCATTCCTCCATGAATGCTGTCATTTGGCAATTGTGAAGGCTTTCTAAACTGCTCCCAATTATCAGGTGTAATTGTTCTGAAATTTCTTTTGACAGTTGCGTTGGCTCATGTTAGTGTTCCAGCTATAGAAAATTATTCTTTCTTTTAAGCATCACATAGACTTCTGGTTTTTACCAGGACTGTTACAGCAAATTAAATGGGTTAGGGGTTGCTTGGTGTCTATTTAGCTTATTTTTTTTTTAGTCAATTTCTATTAATAGAGGAAGGTGGGAGTCTTCATGCATTAGGAAGAGATCTACTATGGAATTGCTCTGGGTTTTGTAACATACACATCCAGTCTGATTTTTATTTTTTTTTTAGGAACTCCAAAGGTGTTTTGTCCAACAGAAGAGCTTGAAATATTCTATTAAAAAAAAAAAAAATTTGTTTCTACTGTTAGACAGCTACTTACTCTCTTTTGTCGTTTGACAAGGCTTCAGAATTACTCATGATCTTATTTACAATTTGTGTGTGTAGTGATTAACACATACGCATTCCAGTCTGTGTCTTCAGAACTTCCAGTAGCTCTGCAGACTCTGGAGCTTCAGGTACTTAGTGGAGACGAAACTAAAAATTGAGCCTCCTGTCACTTAAAAAATATATAAATAATACATATGAAAGAATCCATATGACTCTGCTTCTTCCTGCCTCTCCCTCACTTCCCCTCATATTGTAATTGAAGTCAGCATCCTCACTAAGTTAAAAATACTTGTTTTGTGTATGAAACTTCACTTGTGGTTTCATTAGGTATATGTTAATTTCCTGCCAAGATCTCCTTTGGTATGTTGCTTTGGGTTTTTTTTCTACCAGCTGTTCATCACAGAGGTGCCTGTGCTTCAGACATTGGAATAGGGAGAGACTGGGGGAAGTGAACAGAGATTTCCAGTATTTTTCTATAAAGCATTCATATGTTTTTACAGAAGAGGAAGCAATATTGAATAGACTTGCATCTTGTTATTTCTATTGAGTGTTTCAGAGTTCTAGCAAAAAATCAGAGGTTTTCATCTTGATTATCATGACTTGCAGTCATAGTGTCTGGCTGCCCAGCTCTCTTTCCTAATCAATTAAGAGCAAGCGTTACTGCAAAAAGCAACGGAGGTACACAGAACCAGAGGAAGGAATGGAGGGCTCTCATGTCCTAGTCCCTGTACAAACGACTTCTTGCCTTGTCTTTACTCTTCTGGCTGATGGATTTCCTGGAAAATGCTGAAAGCTACGAAATATCTATTTCAGTGCATCCTCTGCAGTCACAAGAGTTTTTATATAAAGTGACTGATTTATTTAGTCTGTTTGATTTTAAGAAAATAAATAAATAATAATAACTGGGTTTATATCTCTTCCTTGTATCTTGAAACAGAGAAGAGTGTTTACTTTATGTGCACAAGCGTTTGGGTCCTTTTTCATTTCCTCTCTGTGGTTGAATGAGCTACAGCTGTGATAAAGCTTTAGATTTTCATTTGTCTGTTCAATTCTAGCAGCTAGGTTGTGAAAAAAAATGCCAGACGGCACACAACTTGGAAGTAATTCTGGAGCTGACAGCCCCATACACTAAAAATACTTTCATACTTGATTTCTATGCAGTTTAATCCCTGAAATGTTGCTACTTTTTTAAGATAAGTGCACTGAAGCAATATTTCTTTGGCCTGACCTAGCTACAGCAGAGTATGTAAATTCAGTTTCTTTCCTATTTAATGTACCGTCATCAATCCTTTGTGTTAGGAGGGCACTAAGATACTTAGTGATCCTAGCTGCTTCTAATCACTCAAGCTGTTGGCTGCCACCCTCTAAAGCAAGCAGGGAAAGCTGGGGGTGACCTAAAAAAAAAAAAAAGGGAGATGATCACAGTCATTGGAAAAATACTCAGTAGAGCAAGCTGACATAGGAACTAAAGTGAGCAGCCTCTGGAGAGATAAGGCTGCTAATTCTGCCTGGAGAATTGAGTTGCTGTAAGAGAGTGATTCAGAAATCACAAACTGAAGTTATACTTTCTTCGTTGTTATTCCCTGTGCCACTTGCAGATTTGCACACTTGAAAACATCTGCTGAAAGTCAGTTTAGTGATCTCACTAGTGTAGCAAGTCATGCCTCAAAAGAACAGGGTCTGGAAAATACTCATACACAGAGTAATGGTTTGCTTTGCTTAGGGGGATGCCATTTGCCTTGGCTGGTAGTTTCAAGAAAAGATCAAAGAGCATAAACCAAAACCTGATCTTCACAGTGTAATGGGGCAGCAAGACAATGAAGCTTCTTAGAGTCAGGGTCACTAAGCTGTGTCTGTGATTTTCCTTTAGTAGCTTGTTCTCCTGTTCTCTTCCCTCTACACCTAGCAGTTGAAATGTTCAGCCAGTCCTTTGCTACACCCTGGTCAGTTTATCTATTTTTTTAAACATCTCTCTCTTTTCCCCCAAAAAAGCAGAGAATGGCAGATAACCATGAGAGTCAAATGACCATTGAAGAAAGGAAACACCTGATTACAGCTCGAGAAGAAGCCTGGAAGTCCAAGGGTAAAGGGGCAGCCAATGACTCCACGCAGTTCACTGTAGCTGGCCGAATGGTTAAAAAAGGTCAGTGATGAAATGATCCTAGTATAAATAAGCCACTGCTCATTTGCCTAGTCAAAATAAAGTCAAGCTAAAGCTATGCAGAAACAGTATCCCTGTTTAGCAAGAGGAGGACTATTTATCTTCAACTGAATGTCATGGCATGAGGCTGTTCACTGTAGCTTCTTGTGGCCGTTGGTATTAATGCATTTTGCTCTGCACTGTTGCACTACCATCCAGTTATTACTGGGCTCTGTGTGACTGGCGGTAGTCAATCACTTGAACAGTCATGTGTCTCGGTTTTCCTTCTTAGTACAGCCCAAAGGGCACAGTTAGATTATTCTTTCTTATTTATTCTTCCTTTGAAAACCCAGGTGCACTGTCTAGAGAAAAGTTGTGAAATCTAGTTGTTGCTATTGCTGGCACTTCCCCCGCTCTCTAGGATTACTGGGAATATTTTGCAAACACGTGTTACTTTTATGGATGCTGTTTGAGCAACAACTTGGAAGTGTTGTATTTGGCTGAAGAAATCACTAAACAGATTTCTGCATAGAAATGACAAGGGAGCAATGTTGACATTTTGGGGATCTCTTAAATTCAGTCACTGTTTCCAGATGCAATCGTTCTGAAGTGGACAGGAGTCTCTGAAGGCTGTACACGGTAGAAATACAGCTGTTCATGCAGTGCACCTGGGAAGATGATAGCTTTGGGAAGAAGGCACCTAAACTGATCTCTTGTGGTTAATGAATACTAAATTTTGTTTTGTTGCAAGAACTTGGTTATTAAACACAACAACAGTGAACCTTGAGTTAAATGACAACCACCAAAAAGAATCATTGTGCGATGAGGGCAGTATCGCAATAGGGAGCAACTCCATTTGCAATCCAAGCCACATTCTGTTGGCAATTAAACAGATACATGGCATTAGGAATTACATCTATTCATAACATATTTTAGCTGCTGCTTACCATGTTTTGCTGCTAGAAATGCTAGTGGTCAGTGTTTAAAGACTAACCTATTTTGGAGGGTAACCAAGAAATATGTTCAGTTGTCCACAGGCTGCTTTTTGAGATTCTTTTTTTTGCCAGATAGATTGGTCTTTGGAAAGGAATAGAAGGTGATAGCATTTGGTCTTCTTAATGGGAAAAGAAAAATACCTTGAAAGGATCTCTTTAGGTGCTGCGATCATTCTTTTGGAGAAGCAAGGTAACCCAGTGACAGTGGCATCAATAAAAGTAGCCCAAGTGGGATTTTATTCTGATGTGTGCTATTTTTGTTGCCTGAAAGAATGAATTATCATGATGAGTTTTTAATTTAAGAGATGATGACAAAGCAATGCAAAATTAAATCCTTGTTATATATGTGTGCACAGATGCTGTATTTCAATTGCTTCTTATGGCTGAAAATTTTTCAGTCCTAATTGGAAGGTGATCCTTTACTAACATCTGAAGTGGTTCTCAATGTGATCTTGTGGATTAAGTCCTGGGAAAGCTGCTTAAGAGCTGTGTTGTCTCAAGTACATCTTGATGAAGGCTTTGCTGGTTGACTTAAAACCTGCTGGAATTTTGAGTCTCTTAAGTAACAGGGAAAAAAAAATTGTTTGTGGAAAAGCTACTCGATTATATTCTAAATCTGTCTTAGTGTTTGACAATTATGTCTTGTTAGCAGTTGCAGTAAAGATAGTTGAAACGTGGTTAGTATATATTCTCCCAGCACAATATCAGTTTAATCTGATCAAAAGAACTAGAGGCTTACACTTACATGGTTCAGTAATTAGTAAGCTATGGCTAAGTGGAAAATAGATAACAGAGGAAAGTTTAAATGTCAGTTTCGCTGTTTGCTGAGTCTAGGCAACAAGAGGTAATAGATGCAATTCTTTGCTTCAATATGGTTTTCTACCTAATAAAAACCACAAAACCTATACAGTGTCATTTCTCTTACTGGAGCAATGTAGATTCGCATGAAAAGAACTAAAGAAAAATCATCTTATTTTATCCACCGTGTCCAGAATGAATTGCTTTATGATAGTTACTGAAAAGGAGGGGGGAGAGTACAACAAAAGGAGGGAATAGTGTTTGATATGGTGAGGACTCTCACTTCCACTTCTACTTCCATTTCCACATGCTTTTAAGAAAACACAGCAGGGCCCAAGAATTACTGCTTAGTCCAGGGACAGCATTCACAGGTCAGATACATCCTGCTATGTGTATGAATAGAGATGGGTTTAAATTAAAAAAGAGGGGTGAGGGGGTGGCAGTGGTGAAGGTGCCAACCAAGAACCTGGTGGTTTCCCTGCTAACCGTATCTTTTTGTTCAGAACAGTTGCATGTTTTTAAAATGTGGCTTGTAGTAGAACTGGAGTCTGAAATGTAGACCAAATGAACTGCTGGTACCTTGAAAACAAGCAAAGTAACTGTATTCAAGAGAAAGCACGTATCTTGTGTTAGCGTGCTTAGACACTTGGAAACAAAGCTTTGTTCTTGTAAATGGGACAGTTTCTGAGGCTGCTCTTGATTTAAGGAGCAGGCAGGGCAGTACACTGCCATCCCTAACACAACAGTTGTGGAGGCCGGGGGAAGTATGAGGGACTGTAGGAAGTGGCCAGGCTGGTCTGCTTTCCCTAAATAGCTTCCCCTGTCATCGTTGTTGGAAACACGGGCTGACCCAGGACTGCATTTCCTGTCTCCTGTGTTCTTACGCAGGCCTGGCTTCTCCAAGTGCGCTAACACCGGTAGCATCCCCTTTCAGTAACCGGCAGAAGTCTACCACTCCAGTTACAAAGCCCTTGGAAGGTAAGGAATAAAAATGGCTGAAATACATTCAGGCTTTTTTACTTCCTGTCAATTAACAAGTTTTACTTTCTGGTTTACTTAGAAATTGAAGCCAGGCCTGATATGCAATTGGAATCAGATATGAAGCTTGACAAGTTGGAGTCGTTCTTGGGAAGGCTGAATAACAAAGGTTGGTAGAGTTAGCAAAATGTGGCAATGTATCCACTCTCCCATTTCAAGTACCTCTTAGTTAAAATATCTAGTAATGGAAGCTGACTATTTCTTTGTTCAGACTGCATTTACTGATCACACAGTTTATTTTTGTGATTCAGTCTTTGCTAAATTTTAACAAAAAAGCCTTATGCTATTGTATTAAAAATGTACAGAAGAATAAATCACAAATGCCATTATACCTTCCTTCTTTATCTACACACGATGAACACATTTTTCTTGAGAGCAAAATTTCTTGAAACCGCACAGCCAGTCTGAACCACATTGCTATATACTGTGAAACAGCTTTAAATGTAGTTTAATCTTATTAAAATCAAGGTAGGACACAAAGCTGCTCCCAAG